CAACAGTCACCTGCTACTGTCTGTAAGTAGTCCTACTTCTGTCGTTAAGTCTCTCTATATAGCTCAGCTCTTTCATTTCATGTATTTATAATCATCCTCACTATATTCTGCAGATTGAAGATCGCCGAATTGAAGAAAAGACAAGTTGGTGATATTGGGTTCATTAACCCATATCTCATAGATGCAACTGAGGTTAAATTTCATGCCGCCGATACCGAGGCCAACTTGCTACGATCGTTGGTAGTAAATGAAAACAAAGATATAATACTCTTTCCTTACAACTTCAAGTGAGTGTTACTGTCTTGTGCGTATTCGGTTTCCCTTATATATTAGTCAAGGTTATAGTAATGTAATTGATGAGTTATGCATGCGTGTGCAGTTTCCACTATATTCTCCTAGAGATTAAGCTTGAGCAGGGACCAGTAACCGTCTTAGACTCAAGACGAAAAGATCCCCAAGACTATGCGGACATGACTCAAATGCTCGAGAAGTAAGTTAAATCGATCATTATCCACCATATCACAACTTTGTTCATTTCCTGATATATCAAGTAATTGTTTTCTTTGTCTGGCAGGGTTTGGAAAAATTCACCAAAAAAGCTCCAGGACTCCCGAAGAAGCTGCAATTGAGACACCCGAAAGTAAGTACTATAGTAGCATGTTCCGCGCATCTCCTATTGATTCAAGCGCTAGTTTCATCAATACCATTTGGCATTCTTGCTTATCAGTTCGATTGACCTCTATTTCTTGTAAAGTGGTTGTGGCAGGAACAAGGGAATGATTTCTGTGGATACTACGTTTGCGAGTCCATCTGCCACACGACCTGTGAGCGGGGCTACACTGACGAACAACATGAAGTACGTAAATAACAACATTCACAATTTTATTTTATTACCATCATTTGTGTTGAGTTTCATTCATATATATATATATATGTATTGACCCCCTTCTTCAAATTAGATGTTTCGGAAGCTGGATGAACTCCTAGCACCAGCTCGCATGCGAGCAATTCAAGAGGAATTGGCGGCATTCTTTCTTGACCACGTGATCGCTGAAGACGGAGAATACTATGTGGACCATGAGTCCGTATGATTATATTTGTAAGAGATAATTATTGTATATATGTAGCCGGTAGTGTCGGATAGATATACGAGAACTTGTTGTTCGACCAATCTCTCGGAGAAGGAGAGGTGGTCGATATCACTTCTCTCTGTATGCATATATGTTCATGACGATCTTCTGTTTCCTTCATTTGCTTACTAGCTAGCTAGCGTGTCTAGTCCTCTCTATATGTATGTATAGTACGTAGCCTCGACCAAGCACGGACATAAGAGAGGACACTTCTCTCCCCCCCCCCTTTAAAAAAAACAAAAAACCCAGCCATAGAAATGCTGACGCGTAGATGCCTATTGGTCCCGGTTGGTGCCACCAACCGGGACCAAAGGCCCTCCTGCCTGGGCTCCGCGCATAGGCCACGTGGAGGCCCATCTGTCCCGGTTCTGGACTGAAACGGGACTAAAGGGACAGGGCATTAGTACCGACCCTTTAGTCCCGGTTCAGGAACCGGGACAAAAGGCCCTTACAAACCGGGACAACAGGCCCTTTTTCTACTAGTGCTTCATGGTCTCCCTACCCTTAGCCACTTCGTCGCTCGCTCTCCATGATCCTGAGTACCTGCAAGGATGAAGAACGTGAATGAGACAAGAGACATCTATGGAACAATTTTCTTTCACACATACGAGTCATTTATTCAAAGCCCATCCATTGATCCCCATAGCAAATACATTTGGTTGCAAGGCTCTTGCCTCAACCCATACCTTACCGAACTACTCACACATAGACATCAGATCACACAAAGAACACATCATAAAACCCATCATGAAGGTAGATTGATTGGTAATGTGTCTTACAATGGATGTCGTGTGAGATGCACGATTACATGTATGACTAGAAAAGGAAGAACTATGGTGGAGATGGAGATGGTGGCTATGGAGATGGGAAATGTCGGCAGATGGGGTTGATGAAGAGGGGATGAAGATGACTTTGTTCTGGCTCCGCTCATGGTTGTTTTGTTGACATTTTGGACTCAACCCCTTTATAAAAGTTGTTTAGCTGGACGAGGAGCATTGGTTTCCATATGTCATATGAGCGCTCGCATTCGCATGGAATGTCGTGTTTGCTCTGGAATTGCTGGCGCGCCTCCACTTGATTTATTCTATCTTCTCCTTTACTCTTTTCCATGTCCTCACTTGATTTCATAAATATTTAGCCCATTTCATATGGAAACACAATAAAGATAGGATTTTGGAATCCTATGCATTCGTTAGGCGTTAGTGGCGATATCGTAGCAAATATCTCGGTGGAGTCTCCGTCCCTCCTGCGTGATTACTTACTTTGGTGATCCGGAAATGGAGCAAAAAGGATTCTCTCCTTTTTTTCCTAGAGGTAACTCTAAGTTATCGAACCCATGAGAGGATGATCCCCTTGAAGCTAGGGTCTCAACTCTCAAGCAAGAGTTTTCTAAAGAAACAATTCCTTCTTTTGACTGGATCAAAATGAAACAAATGAAGGAGAACATATAATAAAAATAGGCATGGTATGAGGTCTTAATGCTTACAACCATATAATTGTGTTGAGACCAAATATGATCTTAACTTGTGCATTGGAAGTCACCCATCGAGATGTGGTTTTTACGAACCGAAGTGGGGGATGTGTCCAAATTACGTCTTGACTGGTACACGTCCTGCATCAAGAGTCAGCTAACCAACCGAAGGCCCTATCTATCTCACTAGATTACCTCGATAATTAATATTGCACTAATCAGACAAAAGCATTGGGTGTATAATGGCTACACCTCCTAAATCCCTAGAGATAGGATCCATGTTACCATACTAAACCTTTCTGTCACTAGTGTTCGGAAACACTTCACGGTCTCCCTGCCCTTAGCCTCATCATGACTCGCTCTGCATGATCCTTCGTACCCGCAGAGGTGAAGAATGTGAATGAGACAAGAAACATGTACGGAACAATTTTATTTCACACATACGGGATGTTAATTCAAATCACTTCCATGGATCCTCACAACAAATAATCGGGTTGCGAGGTTCTTTCCTCAACTCAGATCTTACCAAACTACTCACACGTGGAGATCAAATCACACGAAGAACACATCATGAAGGTAGATTGATTGATATTATGTTTTACAATGGATGCTATGTGCGATGCACGATTACGACTAGAGGAGGCAAAAGTATGGTGGAGATGGAGATGGTGGCTATGGAGATGGCAAGTGGCCGCGGCTTGGGTTGATGAAGAGGGGATGAAGATGACTCTGTTCTGGCTCCGCTCACAGTTGTTCTATTGACATTTCGGCCTCAATCCCTTTATAAAAGTTGTTCAAGTGGACAAGGAGCATCGATTTCCATGCCATACGACCACTCATGCGAGTACTCACGGTCACATGGAACGCTGCCTTTTGCTCTGGAATTGGTGGCACGCTTCCACTTGATTTCTTCTATCTTCTCATTTACTCATTTAAATGTTCTCACATGATTTCGTCTATATTTAGCTCATTCCCTATGGTAACACAATAAAGAGAGGATTTTGGAATCCTATGCATTCATTATGCATTAGTGGCAAGATCGGAGTGAATATCTCGGTTTTAATGAACTATATCGGTTTAAACTAAGGGTAGAGGAGTGTAAAAATATCACTCATCACTGCGCTACCGCATGGAGGAGCTAGCAAACCTCCCACGGAACCGCGATGGCGTCTAGATCAGACGCCGCGCCAAGGAGGAGCCGGCATGCAACCGCGATGTCCAAATCGGGCGACGCGTGAAGGAGGAGCCGGCGTCGGCGCCGCACAGCTGCTATGCCCGGATTGACGGGACGGCCTTGCCGCCCGGCCGCAACCGGCGCAATTGGTTTGTGAAGGACAAACTGCATTTGCGATCGCCAAGGCGTGAGGCCACATTCTCCACTACCTCGGTGGCGGCGGTCCCTCGAGCTGGGGGGCCGTCATGTCCGCAGAGGAGCGGCCGGCGAGGCAACAGGTGCTCTACGAGCAGCGCGACGCTGCTCGCCACTCGGCGTTCGCCAAGTCAGACGTGACGCCGGCCGAGGTCCTCAACGATCCCGACCTGGCCACTCTGGGCCCTCGACCGCCCCGTCACCACTGCAGACACGGCCGCTGTCTGGGCCCTCGACTGCCCCGTCACCACCGCAGACACGGCCACGAGGCACCGCCACCGCCTTCACGGCGAGCTCGCCTAGATCAGTGAGGAGTGGTTGCTTAGCGGTTGCTCCGCCAATGCTGACAGGGGCAAGGAAATTCTCAGGGCTCTGCGGGTGCCGTCCGCATTGGCCGCGGTGGTGAAGTGCCTTCTTCGCGAGCTCCAGGCATCGGCCGGACAAGGCTGCCGTGGCAGACCCGTGCTCTTCCATCGCTAGAGGGATGACTACGATGACACATATGGCAATGGTGGTGCGGCTGGGCAGGGCGGCCGCACGTACAAGATGGTCGTTCGATACAAGTGTTAGTTTTTTTCCCGTAGTTTTAAGCTAGAAGGCCAATACCAGCTCCCGCTTCAGTGTCATGGACTGGTCCCCTCCAGTCCGTGAACGGATGTGGTGTCTGCTTTGCGGCTCAGCGTAGAAGATGCCCTTACCAAATGTACAGTCGGACACCTCCCCTATCGAAAGAAGGATGGAGCTGAAGACAAAAAAAAAAGCCATTTATTTTTCTAAGCGCATGTCTTGGCACCTTGCCTTGTACGTACATGCCGCAGGGACGGAAAGCAACGGAACAAGCTAAGTATGCACAAAGCCATTAAACACATAGTACAAGTCTTTATTTATTTTTCCCACAAGAAAGTATTTATTTCAATGTTGTTTCAAATTTTAGATCCACACACACGCATCAATCAATCTAATTAATGTGCACCAAATTAAACCCAGGCGAGTTCATGTGGTTGGCTGCCGCCTAGGGATAGGGGGATGTTCATGCGAATCTCATGGGGTACACGGGCAATTTGTTGGGGTAGAAGAGCCCAAAGTTCCTCTCCGTCTCATCCCCGGGCTTCATGTTCTCGTTGAACATGGCGAACACATAGGCCTCAATGGGCCCAGGCCTCTTGGGTGTGCCGCGGGCCACATGGTCGATGAGGCCCTGGTTGTATGCCCGCGCGTTCTCCGGCGTGGCCGCGAACCCGCCGGCGGAGGGCCACCCGGTCTCCGACACCACCACCCTCACGCCCGGCGCCCCTGCCTTCTCGAGCGCCGCGTACAGGGCGTCGACCATGGCGTCGAAGAGGTTGGTGTAGATCAGCCCATTTCCGGCATCCCTCACCGGCGTCGCGCCCGGCTGGAAGGTGGCGTAGTTGAGCTGGATGTCGCGCGGGCTGCTGCGGTAGGCGATGTAGGGGTACACATTGGCGAGCAGCGGCGCGCCGGTGGCGGCCAGGAGCCGGGCCACGTCGGCCATGTAGGGCTGCGCGAATACGGCGGCGGAGGGCGGGAAGGAGTTGGCGATCACGTCCAGCCTCACCGCCGTGGACACCTTGATGCCGGCGCCGGCCCCGCCGAGGCCCTCCGCGGCCAGGGCGTCGTTGAGGTTCCGCATGGCCGCCAGGATGCTCTGCGCGGTGTCGCTGGCAAGCTCGTTGCCGACGGAGATGTAGCGCACGTCCACCGCGGCGCGGTAGTAGGGCTTGACGTTGGCCTGCACCCAGGCGGCGGCGGCGGAGAGGCTGCTGGCGAGGACGGCCACGTCGTTGTTGGTGGTGCCGAGGCTGAGGCTGATGCCGGAGCCGCGGAGCGCGTCGAGCGCCTGGAGCTGGACGGAGTAGACGCGCATGTTGGTGATCCCCAAGAATCTGTAGAACTGCACCACGTCGCTCGGCGGCGGGAGGTTGTTCCCGATGATGCCGTAGCACACGCCAATGGACTGCACACCTGCACCGAAGAATGAATTCAAGCAAATAAATATCCAAATAAATCATATTTTCATATCTTATTTATATAAAATCGGCATCTGCATCAGTAAATCAAATACCATTACATGTACCATGACTTATACTCTATTTTCACATTCTATTTATATGGAGTTGTATATGTAATAATTTTCTTCATAATTAAGCTTAGTCAGACTTCAAAAATATTTCACTAAAGACAAACCAAATAAGCCTTGTAAATCCAAACGGAGGGAGTACCACTGTAAACAGCGCATAGTGACTATATTCTAAAAAAGAAAGAAAAATGCATACATTTATTAGGATACATCAGTTATCTTTGAGTAAAAAAGTATGGACACCGACAAACAACATTCATGACAATTGATACTCACTTTGATTCAAAATAAGTGTCGCGAGTTTAATACGAGTACCGAGTACAAAATAATTTATTGATCTTGTCACAATACATCAGTGGAACTCGGCATGTGGCTATGAAATAATTTTTTGGGGTGGTTGTGGCTATGAAACTTATTCTCGTGAACATTGGTACGAAACCTTAACGATACCGATATGCATATCCGACAAATCCGTTGTCGTTTTGATAGTATAACACGACAAGAAGGTGTCGCATATTTAAAAATACAGAAACATCCAACTACTTCACAAAAATGCTCTGGTCCTTCTCTGATAAATCTATCAGAGAAGGGGCCCCTTCATAAGAGAAGACTTCATACAAATCAAGCCGTAGTAGTACATAATCTGCTTGTTCTAAGATAATAATCTATCACAAAAGAAAGATGGACAATTCTTACAGATCCACTTCTTCTCTTGTTAAAAGGCAGAAGAAAAGAAAAACAGATCCACTTCCAAACACCTACACCAGATTCACACATACCTGCAGGGGCCTGGGCGATGAAGACTCCGACGAGCAACGCCAGTGCAAGCACCGGAGCAGAGCCGCGCATCCCTGGCATCCTGTCGAACCCTACACGGCTCTCGATCTACTCCAACGGCAGAATGTACACGCTTCTACTGGTGTATACCACAAACTGGCCGGCACGCCTGTATTTGTACTGGTGCTGGACGTGTGAAATTACACTAGCGCACACCGACACTAGTGTAAGGGTAGCCAACTGTCGAGGTCATATCCGTAATTGCTCCCCTGCATTAATGGAGTAGAAGTGGAAATAGTTGGCACCACATTTATGCTGCAAGGTTAATGTTGATGGATTTTAGCGGTGTAGCCAGCCCAACGGGTCAAGATGGTCCAGCAATGAAAATATTCACATTTTTGGTGCTACATACTCCTTAGCTACCCCACTGACAGATTTGTACTTAAATGATAAGCATACTTCTTCTTTGGCATATAATAAATGTGGTAGAAATACATTCGATATTTGAGAGAAGCGAGCCAAGACGCATGCCCTCACGTCGCTCCTTCCCCAAGGCGACACAGGGGCGACCCCAACCACCGAGGGTCGGAAAACCCCACCCTCCTCCTCCCCTCGCCATCGCTGGTGCCTCCGCAGGCAAAGCACGCGTGGAGCGGGCGGCGGCGGGGCCAGTTCCTTTTCTCCCGCAGCGGCATCCTCAATGAGTTGACGAGCTCATGGCGGAGGGCGGGAAGCGAAGGGTGATGGCCAGCGCGGCGTCGAGCCTCTTGCGTCGGCCGATGTGGTGAGGTGGGTGGCCTGGCAGGCGTGGGTGGCTCGGCAGCTCTGGCGGCTGCCCGGAAGCGGGCTTGAAGGCACAGATCGGGGCGGTCCCCATCTGTTAGCTCAGACCACGGGGCTGGCCGTCAGGGTCTGCAATGGCGTGGCGGATAGCTAGAAGATTGGCGTGGAGACACGCAACAAGTGCAGCGGCACGTGCGCACAGTGGAGGAGGCGGGCTCGATCTGGGCATGGTTGGGCTACGGTAGGATGTCTTTCATGCGTGAGCTTCGGCCTTCGCGGTGGATCTGACGCTTCGTGGTGGTGCGTTGTTCGTCAGTGTTGACTCGCCTCCATGGTGGCATTGCGGTCCGATTAGAGGGCTCTCGGATCTGGCAGTGATGGTTTGCTACTGTCGGCATAGCGCGGCCGCGGCTTGCTCTTTGTCGATAGTGGATTGGGTTCCTTCCCCATGGTTCGGTTAGTTGGAGGGGCTTAGGGTTCAGGTCGAAAGCCTTGGTTTGATGAGGGTCGAAGGATACTGACGACGATGGCATTGTGGTGCACTCCTCTTTGGAGTTGTCGCCGATGAGTTCCCCCTTTCACTAGATCGTGGCCTGCTGGTTCCAAGGGTTGCCATGGGGGATGTTGGTTTGGCCAGCCTTCTCCCGAGGTCTGGTGGGGCTGTTGTGCGTCACTTTGAGCGAAATCTTAAGCCTTCGAAAAGGGTCAATGCCGGCGGTGATGGCGCCCATGGGCGCCGTTTTATCTTTCTTGAAGGCGTGTCTGAAGAGCTCACCCCCCATCTCTGGGTTGTGGGCAAGATGGTGGTGGACTTTGAGTTGGCCGGTATTAGCATTGTTGGATATTTTGTATCTTGTTCTTTTTTGGCGTTCTTTCAACGATTGTCCCATTCAATAGTGTGGTTTTGAACCTAGTTTTCTTGAAAAACCCGGGTCATTCTGTATTTGGTTTTCTCTCTTATTGAATTCAGCAACGTTTCCCGCAATGGGCCCATCTAACCTGACGAATTTATACTGCTGCAACCGCTACGGCACCCCAGTGGGATTTGCTAAAATGAATTTTCTCATTCTTTTATTATTTCTTTTCCTTTTTTCCTTTTTTCCTCATCCTGGTTTTCTTGAATTTGTTGCAAATATGCGAAATTTCTTTTAAAACAATATTTTTTAAAAAAATTGATGAACTTTTTTTTCAAAATTTTCAACTTTTTTTCCAATCGATGAACATGTTTTCAAATTCAGTGAACTTTTTTGAAAACTGATGGACTTATTTTTAAATACGGTGAACTTTTTTCAAATTCAATGATTTTTTTTTCTAAATTGATGAACTTTTTTCAAATCTGATGAACATTTTTTTCAAATCTGATGAACTTATTCCTTCAATTTTGCTTACCTTCATGGTATTTTCATGTACACTTTTGAATTCATGATTTTATTCCCTTCTTTCTTTTTTTCCTAAATTCAACGGTTTCACTGGTCAACGGTTGACCGGTCAATCGCGACCAGTTAGCAGCTTTTTTTTGGCAATTTTGACTATTTTGACCTGTGGACGAAATCAATTCACAAAATGAACTGCCCGTGAAACTATTTCACAGCACTGACCCTTTTGTGTAGCGCCCGCCACGCAGGCGCCACACCCTACGGTGCAGCGCCTAGCTCAGGGGCGTTGCACCTCAGTCCACCATGGCAGCCCCTGGGCCCGCACCCAGCAGTGCAGCGCCTCAGAGCTAGGCGTTGCACCGTAATGTGCAGCGCCCGGCCCGCAGGCGCTGCACTGTGACTTAGATGCCAGCCGCCCGCTGCCCCCTCCCCACCCCACCCATTCGTTCCAGAGGAGTTACAGAACAGGCGGCCGGCGGCTTCCTCCTCTCCCCCTCTCAATCCCCTCTTAAAAAATCTTCAAATCTGTCGATTTGGCCCGTGGATTCCTTCACCAATCCATTCTAGAAGATACTTTTCTCCGATCCCCTTCTTTCTATCCATAGAATGTATGCTATTTCGGAGATTTGAGGAACCCTTGTTTGAATCTTGTGTGTATTAGATTTAGGGAATTTTTGTTTGAATCTTGCATGTATTAGATTTGGGGAACCCTTGTTAGACTAGAATGTGGTTTGGATACATAGGTTGACATGTTATTTATATAGTTTGGATACATAGGTTGACATTTTATTTATATGGAAAAGATATTTGTATTGAATCTTGCATGAGGTAGGCTTAGTTTAGTTTATTGAAATTACATTTGTATTGGCAAGAATGGTTTGGATACATATGCTTTGTATTTTGCATCTAGTAGGCGTACTTTAGTTTATTTGTATTGAAAAGATAATCGTGTTGACAAGAAAGCTTTCTTTCAAAATTGTTAGGATGGTTTGGCTTCTCGATGATCATTGGGACAAACAACACCGGTCGTACGCTATGGCGGTGGAGCAGCGGGTAATAATGAAAGTGGCCTGTTTTATGAATTTTGTATTTATTTCAAACACAAATGCCCCATATGTAATGTTATGAATTGTTTGTTTGTAGGCGCTTGCACCTTTGAAGCTTCGTTCTCACAGGGTCACCCTTGGGTGGATGCGCTATGATGAGCGATACACACCGTATGTAAGGGAGACAGGACTTCTCCCTTTCATTCATATGGTCAGACGGTCGACGCCACCCAACAATGCTCCAGCACTCACCGCGCTTATTGATCATTGGCGGCCGGAGACACATAGTTTCCATCTACGGACCGGGGAGATGACAGTGACGCTCCAGGATATTGCTATGATCACCGGTCTTCCTATCGATGGGAATCCTCTATGTATGAGCACCGACTCCGATGGGTGGCGCGCGCAGATGCATGCCCTTATCGGTATGGTTCCTCCGGAGCCTCCGGAACCAGCAGCAGAAAACAAGAAGAAGGAAAGAGTCGCAGCCGGTGCTACTTTCACGTGGATTACTGAGCACTTTGGTACTTGCCCACCGGAAGCTGATGAGGACACGGTCAAGATATATGCTCGTGTCTACATGTGGTATGTGATATCCAGGACTATGTTTGCTGATGGCACAGGCAAGAATGCTCCATGGATGTGGCTGAAGGCGTTGACCGTCTTCGATAGCAAATGGAGTTGGGGTTTGGCGACACTGGCTTACTTGTATAGACAGGTATGAAGTTGTTTCTTTTTTACTTCATTGCTACATTATGAATGCGATCTTGCTCTTAATTGAACCATGTTCTCTTTTATGTGCAGTTGGACGAAGCCTGTTGTAGGTCATCTGGAGGTATTGGTGGTTGTTTGCTCGCACTTTCCATATGGAGCTGGGAGCGTTTGCCGGTTGGACGTCCGAAGAAGGTGAAGTACGATGATTGGGACGACAAAGGCGACCTACTATGGCTACCCACTTGGGCTTACAAGTGGGATGTGATAAATGAGACGACAGATGATCCCTCGGTCATGTACAAGTTGTAACAGAGTGAGCTTGACGCGATCACGCCTGAGCAGGTGAATTGACATGGCATAAGTGATTACGATGCTTCTATTGCAACTCGATATCAATTTTGCATTCTATCCCATTTTGCAGGTGATATGGGAGCCGTATGGAACAGGAGATAGTTTTGGTAACCCTTTAGAGTTCAGGCTGAATCCGATGTGCACTAGGGATAGGGATCTCTGGCGTATGCGGTGCCCACTCATATGCAACTGGGCGGTTGAGCTTCACCTCCCACATCGAGTGCGCCGTCAGTTTGGTTTGTTCCAGGCACATCCGCCGGAGTGGGAGGACACGGACAAGTTGCTACACGCGTAAGATATAATTAACCTTGAGTACTTAGCAGCTTCTCGGCGGTTTCGATGCTACTAATATTATGTTTCTAACTTGCAGGTTGGATAGGAAAAGGCAGTGGAAGATTAAGGATTGGGCCAAGCATCACAGAAAGTATGTCGTACAGTTTGCGCTTAGTGTGGAGCAAGCTAGGGCTGGAAAAGGAGTCCAGCTTCGTGAGCACTGCCCTGTAGCGTTCAACAACTATCTCACATGGTTTCTTGCAAGTACCCGTGTGGAGGTATGCAAGCCGGCGTATGCTGAGGAGATTATGGAAGAACCCACTGTTTTTGATGAGGTAGCCCAACACCAGTACAACGCATTAGTCAGGAAAGGCAACTCAGTGATCCCTTCAGCTCCAATGATGAACTTTGTGGTATTTGCCCTCTTTGCTTTTCATTCACACTATTCACATCTTCGCTTGCCTAACACGTTAATACCATTTCTGTTCATAGCGTGCCCAGATCAAGAAAGCAACTGATGAGACCGAGACTATTCTTG